CCCCCCCCCCCCCCATCATGAATCTTAAATTCAGGCATTTTCTGATTAAGAAAGGAAGGAATGTGTGAATGAGATTGCTGAAACCATTATTGAATACACAATGAAATGCTTTGTTCTCCCAGCCAAATCAGAGTTATGGATGAGATTCAGATTATATTCAGGCATAAGTTCTGCGCTGTATGCCTATAAAACATGCCCTTAGATAGCTGTTAAAAGCGCAGTTCCTCCTCCTCTTAGGAAGATTACATCAAAAGAAAACAGTAACAAATGTGTGTTGTACTAATAAGGACTGTCAGAGTGAGTCACAAGACTCTTCTGTGTAATAAAGACAAGCAGAAGGAATTTTTTTCAAATGAAGCTAAACTTTTGAACAGAGCATGTTTTTCCTTTAAAAGTTTCCAGATTTCAACTGTTAGGGAATAATAAATTAGTATGCATAAAGTATCATTAAAAAAATCCGCCTCCACTACAAAAGTATTTTCTAAGCTTACTACGTTAGAATTCAGATTATTTTCATTAATGACAAAAATGCTATAGAAGTTCTTCTGCTTCCACTTATTTTTATGATGTGTAGTGTTACTGAAAAAGAGTTGAGGCCTTTCTGAATCTGAATTAATGATTTATTTTTCTTTTAATTAGAAGATAGAGATAAAAATACAGCTCTGAATTGAATAAAGGTGATAGTCCTTCCCGTGTGTGTGGAATGAATACTGCTGGCTGCAAGAAAGCTAGGAAACAATCCTAGACTCTTTTATTCTTAGGGTGCATTAAAGATGATGTTTGGGGTTTTTAGGAAGCTTAATCATTATCTATAGTTATAATTAAGGCTCTCATTTCAGAAGAAAGGAATAATTTACAGGATTTTAATTATTTTAAGATGTAATGGTACATAGACTGGAAAAGACTGTTGGGATCAAGGTTTATTGTGATTAAAGAAATCTTAATGTTGATGAATGCAGGCGTTCCTATATGCATGTATGGAACGTGGATTTAAACCACTCAGGACTGAGGCTCTGATTTCCTTTAAGTGGATGTGTTCCATACCTGCAGTACTTGAGCCTAAACTGTTGTCATGTAGTCAGTCCATTTACTATACATAGCATAATAGTAATGCATTAACTGAGTGCACCTAGAGACCCGGCTTTTGTTATCAGTTAGGTATTTGTTCTGTGTGAGTTAACATCTCTAGACTTCTGATAGCATAGGAGATGTGGGAGCAGAAAGAAGGGCACACTTTCCAAAATCTGGCTTCATAAAAAAATATATAAATTGAGGAATAAACATTTTAATTGTGCATTATAAATAAAGACTAAATACATATTCTTTCACAACCAAATGTTCTTCTGCAGTACCCAATGCCACTGGTAGGCCTGCATGTTCCCTGACCCATTTTCTTCCTGGAAATTTTTCCCTGTACTGATTCTGAGGACATCATAAATTTCCTTATTATTTCTGCACAAGTGGAAGCCTGGCCAGAGTTACTGTACACTTTCTTGTAAGCTGTGTAACAACGCGGGGTAAAAAGTAATATAATGTGCCGTGCTGCTAGCGTGAGCGTGTTCAGTCAGCCCACTGCAACCTGGAAGTAACAGGTTTACTGAGATTTATTGTGGATACACACTAATCGGAAGGTTCTGCTTTACTGCATGGATGCTGCACAGCACCTATGCTACACTGCACATACTTCTGGCAAAAAAAAATCCTTGCAAGAAATGTGATAGTGCTCGCCAGAGAGATTTGGGTTCTCCCTATGGCATCAGATTTAGCACACCTGAATCTAAACTGTGTTGTTATGAAATAATGACAGAGCACAGTTATCCTTCAGGACCTATTCCCCATGCCAAATGCTGCAGCAAAAGGAGAACAGGGCTGTATTTTATGTGGATGATGATTTTTCTGCCATCTGTATTATGTAAACCACTTTCTGGAATGGGAGCTTTTCTGAGCTGCCATGCTGCTGTTACTTTATTGAGACACAAACTAGACTGAATTCGAGCTTGTAAAGATTTCAGTTCGTTTGGCAGAATTTATCTGTGCTTGCCTTGAAGGACTTCACGTTTCCCCCATGTCGCTTAGCTTTGTGTTCCACGTGTTGTGATGGATTGGAAACAGTCTGGCAGTGTTAATTGCACCTATGCATGCAACCACGGACTTTTAGGTTAGGAGGAGCATCCTCAGAGATTAAATTCTTAGCAGCAAATACGTAACACGTTATCCCCCTTTTATAGACTGACCTGGCTGGTGGTTGTTGTAGACTTCATTGATTTCCTAAGCAGTCACAGAAGCTGTTCTCTGTTCAGAAATTATCTGAAAAGAGTGAGTCAGTGTTACTAAAAAGCAGTATTATGGTGGCAGTGTATATCCTTAGGCTCCAGATTTGCACTATTTTGTACAACCTCAAATAGTTTTTGCTCCTTAGCAGTTCTCAAAAAAAAAAAAAAAAAAAAAAAAAAAAAAAAAAAAAGGAATGAATAACAGAGAAATGCTGGGCTGTTACTGCTCCTCCCTAACTGTGGGTAAGAATCCTCATCCCCCTCCAGCTTAGGGAAATTCACTGGCACAGAAAGCTCTGAATTACATCTCTATGTGCCAGCTCCAGGGAACCTGGCCGCAAATCCTTAAGCTAAGAAAACTACTCATTCCTTTAAAGGACAGTGACAAAGTTTTCTCTGATGTCATAACGTTTAAAAAAAAAAATAAATCTTTAAGTCAAAGGATAATTAAGTCATCGTTTATTTTAGACTTTAATTACGAAGAGCAGCTACTTAAAAGTGAGCAACTGCTATCAAAGAGGGCACATGTGAAAGTAGTAAAATGAGATAAAAATGTAGGAGAGTGAAAATACGAAGTAGCCTTTAGCATGACAATTAACCACCCCATCTACCCTTCCTTTATTCATCGCGGGATAATTCATTGCCACTGAATTAATGGTGAAGCATTCAGTAATAGGCCTCGGTAAGGAAATAGAAGCAGTGTATCAGGATATCCTTTTTCCGCCCCAGAGTACCAATACTTTCAATTTTATATACAACGGAAGCAATTAATCGTAACACAAAGCAGCACAGCTGTGTTTCCTGATGGTCACACACGCAACAGCTACTATTGTTTAGCATTTTGAGTACATACACAGAAAACTGTTCAACTGCTTTGAACACTTTACATTTTGGGGATTTAATTTCCATTAATAGCTTTTGAATTTATAGTGGAATTTTAATATGCTATTATCTTAGATCCAATCCTGCATCCCTAATCAGGTAATTTTTTTTGCTGTTGCCAGTGGGAGTTTAAACCGAATTAGGTATAGCTGCCAAATCCAGAGATTTGCAGACACAGGACAATTTCTCATTGGAAGTAAAGGAAGTTATAGCCTATTTATCAGGTCTTGCTTTTAGCTGTATGTGTTTCTTTAACTTGTTCAAGTTCCAGTACATATTCAAGTTATCTTACAGACTAAGGGAGAAAAGCCATACTGCTATGCCTTTAACTTCATTACATATTTTCAGATGTACTAGCTGACTGCTGTGACTGAAATACAAACAAAATACAAAAAAAAAAAAGCATATCCTTTTCTTATTATTAATTTAGTAGAGCTATATTATCTTGGTTTTGCTAGAATATAAAAAAAAAGAGTGTTTTGCTGCATTTGTTCTTATTTAACAGCAATACATTCATTATTTATTAATGAAGATGAGAAAGATATGTTTAGACTGAGAGAAAAATAAGGATTTGATTAATTGAAACTATTTGGTTCATTTGTTTTGTACAGGATTCAGATCTGTGTCATTCTAACAAGCTTGGAAGAACATAGCATTTTCAGACTCATAAATGTCCATCTTTGTAAATCTCTACACTACCCACTACAGCTGCCAGAAACACATCCACTTGAATCCACTCCTCTTGAGGACAAAGGACAAAGATGTTATACACTCCAAGACAGAAATTTTCTGTATTGAAAAGAATTCTCCATGTTTCACAGCAGGTTTAAAAAACATTTCCTCTTTCAGCATTGGTTCAGTTTCTGTTGCTGAACAGGGTTGTTATCAAGAAGTGTTTGTTACAGAGGCTTAAGGGGATGAAGCCTCGGCATCAGTAGGAGAAATGTTAACACAACGCGGGCTTGGATCTGAGGATTATTCAAACTTTAAAAATAAACCCTCTTATAATAAAATGG